ACCAATGGAACAGGGTTGAATACACTGACATCTCCCCTCAATCATATGATCATCTAATCTTTGATAAAGGTGCAAGTAATGTGAAGTGGAGTAAGGAAAGCCTCTTTAATAAATTGTGTTGGCATCACTGGACGGCTACATGCAAAAAAATAGGCTCAATTTCTAATTTTTTGAGAATCGTCCATACTGTTTTCCAAAAGGGCTGAATCAGTCGGCATTCCCACCAGCAGTGAAGGAGGGTCCCTTTCTCGCCACATCTGCGCCAACACTGGTTGCTTTTGTTCTTTTGGATGTGGGCCAGTCTCTGAGGTGTGAGATGGTATCTCATTGTAGTTTTGATCTGCATCTCCCTGATGATTAATGATGTAGAGCATTTTCTCATGTGCTTTTTTGCCATTCGGATTTTACAGTATTATTTAAAATTTGACTTTTAAGTATCGTCTTTATGGATAGTAATACATCTTTTTATTTGCTGTCCAAAGAAGGACATTTTCCAACACTCTAAGCTTTAATATGTGCTCATCTAATTTTCTCTGTGGGAGTCCTCACCCAGTGGTGCTTCTTTGGGACCCTGCGGTGTAGAGGATTGAATCCGGGACTCCCATATGCAAAGCATGCACATACATGTACACTATATCCTTATTCTACATTTCAATTTTTTGATCACTCCAACTCACTTCTTTTCTTTTGAAGTTGTAAAAGGGTAGTTAACAAATAGGAGTTACTTCTTCCCAAGCGGCAAAGTAAGTTAGTTTTTTTTGGAATACATTTAAGAAACAAGTAGTTTGATAAAAGGGGCTTTTGTAAATCAAATGGAAAGTTACTGGTAACTTTTAATCAAACTAACACAGCAAGCCCTTTGGAATGGGGATATTTGGAATTGGAAAAAAGGCAGGAAACTGGTTCCCTCTTAAATCATGGGTTTATTTGATCTGGGAGAGAAACCTAAGAATGCTTTAAATTTTGAGTAAGGTCACTGTGTTCAAATATTTGCTTATTTGCCCAGGAAAAAGACACAACATAGAATTTGGAACTGATTGAAAACCCAAATTTATTAAATAGGGAAACAGAATAAACTAGGATCATGCAATATATATATATATATATCAGGAACTTTCAAAGTATTAAAATAACTTTTGAAAAACTTTGATTTTTCTTTAATTTGTTCCTCTTTCCCCCAATTTCTCCTTTTTGCTATTGTCGATGCTGTTCTGATAATGGGAGTCTGGCACACATATACCTGACCATGGTACACTCACATTTTAGCTGGGGTGCCTCTCTGGGGTTGCACTCCTTTTTCTGGTACTTAATGCACATCTGGAGGTAAATCACTCACTGTTGCGGGGATCACAGACAGTGGAGCTGTGAAGATTGTGCTGGGTACACAGAGACCCCGGGGATTTGATCAAATGTGTGAGGGACTGAAGTAATAGTACAGTGGGTAGGGAACTTGCCTTGTGGCCGACCGTTGTTCAATACCCAGCACCCTCTATAGTCCCCTAAGCCTGGCAGGAGTGATCCCTGGGCACAGAGCAAACAAACAAGCAAACCAACCAACTGTGTGACTATACATTTGCCAGGCAGGTACTTCCAGTCCCAGTGTGGTCTTCTGGGCTAATTGCTTTGATTCAAATCAATTGATTTGATTCAAATCAAATCCCTTTGATTTCCCAGGGATGAGAGGTGAAATTTCAGAACAAGAAAAATATTGCAAGGGCCTGTATTTGGAAAAACAAGAAAGGACACTACAAATTGGTAGGTGTAGAGTCATCTCTTGTCTTTGGAGAGACATCATTTTTTTTATGCCTATCAGTGGGAAAACCCTCATTCTACTTCTCTGTGAACTAGAATACTGAAAGTACAAGTTAACTGCATTTGGGGCTAATGAACATTTCATGAGAATTCACTTTTTGGTTTCAGTTACTTGCTAAGCTCAGAGTCTTTTTCTTTTCCTTATTTTTTTTTTAAAGTGGGAAGTGATGCTTTTTTGAAGGGGTGTTTTTGGGTCATACCCAGCGATGCTCAGGGGTTACTTCTGGCTCTGCACTCAGGAAGTACTCCTGCTGGTGCTCAGGGGGACCAATCCGAGTTGACCGCATGCAAGACAAAAACCCTCTTTGCTGTACTATCACTTCACCTCTCCCTCACTCTCCCCCGCCTTTTTTTTTTAAGTGTGCAAATTTTGTTAATGTCAAAGGTTTGACTTTGTAGTACTGTGAGAAGACATCAGGATATTAACTTTAGAAACTTGGGTATATTTTCAAATTTTGAAAATTGAAATCTCTTCTAATATCACCTAACCGATTAATTAATTATTTACACATACCTAACCAAATTGGGTTTGGGTGGAGAGTGTTTTTGAAGTCTTATGATTAGAAAATTGAACACTTTGTAAAACACTGGTTTAAATATGTTCTTATGATTGCAATGCTGATATATTATTGACACTCCAGATATACAATTTTTGGGGGTGGCAGGGTGGAGTATATTCCTGGCTAGGCTTGGGGGACCTATAGATGCTGAGGATCAAGCCCAGGCCAGCCATATGCAAGGCAAGCTTCCTGTTCACTATCTTAGGTCTCTGTCCCCATACGGAAAGTCTTTTTTATTTTTATTTTTTGCTACCCAGCAGTGCTCAGGGGTTACTCCTGTCTCTGCACTCAGGAATTACTCCTGGCTGTGTGCATATGGGATGCTGGGGAACGAAACTGGGTCAGCCAGGGTCAAAGCAAATGCCCTACTCTCTGTACTATTACTCTGGCCCCAGATAGAAAGGCTTGACCCAAAGACTACAGCATTAATGTTACCTGGTAGATTTCTAGAAATTCAGAATCTCAGGATCCATCCCAGACCAAACGAATTAGAGTCAAGGGTTTAACAAGATGCTTAGGTGACACCAAAGAACATTAATATTTGTTAAGCACCACTGTCTAAATCCAAACACTTAGGAGGATTTTTAGAACAGAATAGTAACGAGTGACTCATTATCCAACAATGCAATGTGTTTTATCTTTAGGCAATTAAAACATTCAGCAAGTTGTTGTTCATTGAGTTCAGATCTTACTCTTTGAATATTATAGTCACTAGTCTTGATCTAACACCTGATAGCTTTTAGAACTAAGTCAAGGCCTTTTCTTCACGATGGTCATTCACACACAACAATGGACTGTCTTTTTGTTTGCTTGTTTGGGGGTCACAGACCGTAGTGCTCATTGGCTTCACCAGGCTCTGTGCCAGGTCGGGGTCAGGGTTTAACCTGGGCTCCACATGCCCTGCATGCCTTGCACGCACTCAGCCCTTTGAACCCTCTCAGGACCCACAGTGAACTATCTTGTTTCTCTTCTTTGATGAAAACATCCTCCTGCCTGTGTAACTAAATCCTTGCCCCCTCGCTGTTCTTGGCATGACATTGAGGTTGCTTTAGTAATCAAACTACAAACTCTTAAAGAACTCTTTCAACTTCAGACTTGCTGCTCTTCCTCCACTCCAAAAGATTATAGGTAGCCCTGGGTAGAAGAGGAAAGAAACACAAGAGCTATAATTTTTGTGTTTTTTTTGTTTGTTTGTTTGTTTTTGGGTCACACCCGGCGATGCTCAGGGGTTACTCCTGGCTCTGCACTCAGGAATTACTCCTGACGGTACTTGGAGATGTTGGGACGCTGGGAATCGAACCTGGTTCGGCTGCGTGCAAGGCAAATGCCCTACCCTCTGTGCTATTGCTCCAGCCCCAGCAGCTATAATTTTTGTACATTTAGAAACATGAACTGTAAGTTTAGGGAGAATGAGGCTGAGGTTCAAAATTCTGTCTCACGGTGGAGACTAGTATAACAGGACCAAATAAGAGAAACAGTACTGGGAGCTACGAGAAACTCACAGGACTCCCTGGAGCCTTCAGAGGGAACAGTCTCTGCTAACACCTTGATTTGGGAATTCTAGCTGCCAGAACACAGAAAGAATACATTCTCTGGTGCTTTACAAAAAAAAAATATTAAGTCACTTTTCCTTCCAATTTCTGAATACTTCAGAAAGGGAAACGCATATATAAATGCATATATAAACATATACAAAGAAACATTTGCTGTTTATAAAGTCTCCTATAATCCTATAATCCACAGCTCAGCACATCAACCTATTTTTTTTCTTTAATGCCATCAGTTATGTGTCACACACACATAATTTGAGATTTGAGTGTCCTTAGCTTTAAACATTTTGGAGCAAAAAAATCCATTATATTTTTGTCTTATAATGATTTTTCATAATAATGAAGCACAATTATTTTATTCTTGCAGGCCATTAGAGTTCAAAAGTTCAATTTTGAAATGAAATGTTTGCCACATATTTGTTTTTATATTTGCTTCTCAAGAACCTTTTTTTAAACAACCATCTCCTGCTAATAAAAAAACAGAACATGCAGTTTTTGCTTTTTCTGTTTGTTTGTTTAGCATTTGTAAGAAATGTGGTCGCCAGAAATAGTTGTTTTCCCCCCCCCCGAAATTTTTAGGGAAAAAGAGTTTGCAGCAGATTATTAAATTAGCTATTATCACCGATTCCCCAATTTTTTTCTTTCCCTTTGCTTTCTTCTAGACTCTTTAATTCTTCTTGACCGTTTCCTTGTTCTTTTCTCTCCTATTTTTCCTTCCTCCTCAGTAGATTTTCAGAGAAACAGCTCCTTCTCCCACTTCTGCATTTAACAATATAGCTGTGTGTGTGTGTGTGTGTGTGTGTGTGTGTGTGTGTGTGTGTGTGTATTTCTTTCCCCCCAAGGACACTGAGCTGGCCCTGTGGCTAACGCGTCATATAATGTATGCTGCAAGTTTGGCTGTTGGATGTTTTCTGGTTTGTTTGGTTTTGGTATTTCATTATTCTGCAAGCATTTTGGGAGGGATCTGAAAAAACAAAAATGGTATTTTCACTAATAATTTTTTTTTAATGGTTTTAAATTGTTCTGGGATTGCTGAGGCATTCTTAATTTTGTGGTTTTGTTTACTTCTTTTTCCCAGCAGTTGCAAGAACTACAGTCTCGGCTGATTTCTAGTGGAGAGGCTCTGACTGTTCAGCAGACAATCACTTTCCTATAGCCTTCACCTCCAGGAACAGAGGACTTTGGGGAAAGGATTCTTAAAAGTACAGGTGAGTTAAGCCAACGATTTCATTGTTTCAGATATCTTAGATATATGTCTGAATCCAACCCTTTAGATATCTATATATCATTTCCCTCCCCACATTGCCCTTCGCTTCCCTTTATTGGGGTTGTGATGACCAGGAGTTGCATGTACATTTCTGCTGTGGGGTTCACTGGGATTTCCGTGGCAGTTTCTGGAGCTTCTCCACTTGGCCATGGTGCTCAGCAAGGTTTGCACTCTGCTTGATGGCTTCCTCTGCAAGAGCTTATCACATTTCATAGTCCTTGTCCATGGAACTCTCATATCTCTTTTGTTTTCTCGCTGCGGGGATAGCACACTCATTTTCTGGGGTGATTGTACATAAAATGACTGTGATGTGATCAGAAATCACTCACAGTGCCTGGGACCAGAGGTGGCTGGGCTGTTGGGCTCAAAACAGCAGAGAAGCCAAGGATCACACCTGGCACAGGTAGGACACCAGTAATTTTAATCCATGACCAAATACTTGCAGGGCAGATGCTCTAAGACACAGTGCTATTCCTCTAGTTCGGAGTTATTTTCATATAGTATGTGTTTATAGTCTTTAGTAAATGACTATAAACACCTCCTTCTTTGTAAATATCTACCTGTTAATTTGTTTCTTAGCTAGTTTAACTTGTGACCTGGGGATCTGTGGGACTTTCAGGTCATCTGGAAGTTGAGCTGTGGAAGTTCTTTTTTATTTGCTTGTTTTTATTTTGGGCTCACACCCATTAGTGCTCAGGGACTACTCTGCATGCTTTGGGGTTGTTCCTGGCAGTGCTCCAGAGGTCATGTAATGTCACGGATACAATACAGGGTTTTCACATGAAAGGCATATACTCTTCCCCTTTGAGTCATTGGTCCAGCCCTATGAAAATTTTAAGTGATTAATTTCATTCTCAATCTGAATGGACCTTTTGGGGGACTGTCCTAAACATGGAAGTGAAAGAATAAGGAAACTCTGAAGTTAAAATTAGAACAGTGATGTTGACATTCTGCTGCTCAGATATGCAAATCTGGGGAAGACCCTTGCTCTCTCTCTCTGGACCTTCTGCCACAGGATGAAACTAACTTCTCTCTCTCTCTTTTTTTTAAATTAAAAAAATCTTTTGGAACATGCTTAGCAGCGCTCTGGGATTACACTTGGCTCTAAGCTCAGGAATTTCTCTGGGTGAGGTTTGGGGCTTGAGGTGCCAGGGATCAAGGTCCTGTTTGTGAAAGATGAGCACCTTGTGGCTGTACTGTCTCTCTGACTACTACCTAGTTCTTATTTATTTTTCATTTTTTAATTTTTCAAAATTTTATTTTTATAAAGTCGTTCACAATAATTTATTACATTCAATATTTCAACACCAATCCCACCACTATTATATCTTTAGGTATCAATTTATCAATGCTATTAGAGAATGTTCTGAAGCTCAAATGGCCAGCGGATAGAATTCACTCCATGTTTACCGACCCCACAAATTCAGAGTCTTTTATTTTTTTGCTTTTTGGGTCACACCCGACAATACACTGGGGTTACTCCTGGTTTATGCACTCAGGAATTACTCCTGGCAGTGCCGGGGGACCATATGGGATGCTGGGAATCGAACCCAGGTGGGCTGCATGCAGGGCAAATGCCGTACCCTCTGTGCTGTCGCTCCAGCCCCCAAATCCATAGTCTTTATGACTTTTACATCAGTCTATTAGAGAACAAGTATCTTAGTAGCAAATTTGTTTCAGAACTTTTGTCTGGAAATCTTTTTGTGAAAGCACTGTTGACTGAGAATATTATGCATTAATAATAAATTTAGACATTGAGACTGGCTCTAATTGACTAGAATTTCAATCTCGAGACTCTTGAGTTTTTCATCATTGATACTGAGAACATTGATGAGTAAATTAAAAGTCCTTCCCCCAGGTAAACCTGAGATTACAGGATTTTTGATACCAGAATTTATACTGGAGGTACATTAGATCTTCAAGTTTCTTACTGCTAGAAACATCTATTTTAAAGGAATCTGGGTAAGATTTCTGGTTAAGTGGGGGGCAATGCTCAGTGGGGCTCAGGGGTTACTTAGTCCTTGGTGGTTACTCTCAGCATGCTTGGGAATATGTCATGCCAGAGGACCAAATTTGGGCCTCTTGCATGCAAAGCATATACCAGCCCATTGAGCTCTCTCTCTTTCCACACCGTACTCTTTTAGTAGTTTTGAGGACTAAAAGACTTACCCATTCAGGATCCAGAGAGATAATGCAGATGTTAAGGAATTTACCTTGCACACACATGATCCTATTTCAATGCTGCTACCACTGCATAGGTCCTCTGAGCACTGCTAGGGGTGACCCTTGAGCACAGAATCTGGAGTAAACCCTGAACATTGCTGGGTATACTCTAATGCACCTTCCTCCGAAATAAATTTTTAAAACTTGACTCAATTTTTACTAAAATTTTACTCTTACTAAATTTTGTACTTGGAGATGTAACCCATCACCAGAAATACTTCCATACACCAGTGTCCCAAGGGTCACTCACATTTATAAGCAAATGACCTTGACCATTTGTTATTCCCTTTCTGTGTTCCTCTATATCTTCCGAGAGTATTCGATATGCCAGACACAGTAACAACAAAGTCTCCAATGGAGACGTTACTGGGCCCGCTTGAGCAAATCGACGATCAACGGGAGGGCCTATATCTCACATCTGAGAAATTTGCTTATAAATGGATAGACTTGGAGAGTATCATGCTAAGTGAAATGAGTCAGAAAGAGATGGACAGACACAGAAGGACTGCACTCATTTGTGGTGTATAGAGTGTTCTTAATCTAGTAGAGGACAGACTTCAACGTCACAAGCAAGTACTCAATGACAAAGTGCTGAGAAGTTTGTTTTGTCTGTTTTTTTTTAAATTAATTATTTTTTAAAAATTGAATTAGTGTGATAAACAGTTACAAAGTTGTTCATGGTTTGGTTTCAGTTATATAATGTTCCAACATACATCCCTTTACCGATGTACACTTCCCACCATCTATGTCCCCAGTTTCCCTACTCTTCACCCCACTTCTCTTTCCACCCTCCCACCCCCATTGGGCGTTATGGTTTGCATTACAGATACTGAAAGAGTATCAGATATATCCCTTTACATACTTTCAACACTAAGTTCCTGTCCATAGTGATCTTTTTCAACTATTATTGCTATACTGTTTTGTCCTTTTAATGCAGCTTCTTTGAAACATATTGTAAAGCTAGTTTAAAGGCTATGAAAAACTAGTTTAAAGGCTAAGCTCTTGTCTATCTTTGAAGCACCCTATCATTCCTTCAACTCTGATAATCTACCTGTGTAGAGTATGGTGTTTATTGAGGGTTTTTTGGTTTGTTTGTTTTTGCTATCTCCCACTATTCTCTGCTGGGTTGTAGATTCTCTTTGCTAGATCTGTGAATTTTAAGGAAGGTCTTTTGTACAGCAGGTCGGGCCAGGAGTAATCCCTGAACACTGTCAAAGCAAGAAACCAAACAAATGGAACAAATTCTGCCTCTGACTTAAGCTTTTGCTATTCTGATGATAATATGTTTTGGAGTTTTTCAGTTCATTTGTTTTTGCTGGGATCCTTGAGGCATCTTGGATCTCAGTGCCTGCACTCCTGACTCTTGGAATAATACTCCTTCATCTCCTTCTCCTCTTCTTCCTCCTACTTCTTTCTTCTCCTCTTCTTCTCCTTATCCTCCTCCTCATCCCTTTCCCTTCTTTCTCCTCCTCCTCCTCCTCCTCTTCATCCTCCTGCTCTTCTCTACCTCCTCTTCTTCTACCTCCTCTTCTTCTTCCTCCTCATTTTCTTCTCTTCCTTCTCCTGCTCCTTCTTCTTTCTCTTCCTGAGAACCAGAAGTAAATCCTGAACACCTCAGATGTGTCTCCCAAATAAAACAAAAGAAAAACTCAAACAAAAAAAATCCAAAACCAAATTCTGTTTAGCTGATACCCTCCATTTCCATCCATGTTGTAGTGAACTACATGATGTCGTCGTCCTTTTATGTGATTGAATAGTATTCCATTGTGTACATATACCACCTTTCTTTATCCATTGCTATGTCATTGGACATTTAGATTATTCCCATATTCTGGTTATTATACTAAGTGCTACAGTGAACATAGGTGTGTGTATATCTTTTGAAATTAATGTTTTTATGGTTTAGAAGTAGATGCCAAAAAGTAGAATGCAGCATCATATGGGAGATCTGTCCTTCCTTTTTTTGATTTTGTTTTTCATCCACACCTGGCAATTTTCAGGGACTACTCCTGGCTCTGCACTCAGTATTTACTCCTTATGGTATTCAGGAGACCCTATGGAATGTCAGGGATTCGAACCTGGGTCGGCCACATGCAAGGCAAACATCCTCCTTGCTGTTCTATTACTCCGGTCCCGTGTACTCCCTTTTTGGAGGAATCTCCATATTGCTTTTCATAGAGGCTGATCTAGATGACATTCCCACCGGCAGTGAATGTGAGTTCCTTTTGATACTGCCATTCTCAGTGGTGTGTGATTGTTTTGTTTTGATATGCATTTCATTGTAATAAGTGATAATGAGCATTTTTTCCCATATGCCTACCGGCCATCCATATGTCTTCTTTGAGAAAGAGTCTATTAATCTCCCCCTCCCTATTTTTGATGGGATTATTAGCTATTGTTGTTGAGCTTTGTGACTTTACAAATCCTGAATATGAACTCTTAAAAGTATTTGTTAAATGAAATAAGTCAGTGGGAGGACAAATACAGGATGACTCATTTGTCTGTGCTGTATAGAGACAGACAACAAGGGAATAGACAGTGTCAAACAATAACAAACCCTTGGTATATTTAAAAAACTGAGACTGTGACTTGCGGGTGGTGGCAGGGGGAGATGAAGAAAGGTGACCTAGGGATAGTAGTGTAAAGTCTTAGGCACTTCGATCATAATAAAGGTAATTACCTAATAAAAAATTGGAAAAAAAATTTTGCTCTCTCTCTCTCTCTCTCTCTCTCTCTCTCTCTCTCTCTCTCTCTCTCTCTCCCTCCTTCCCTCTCCCCCCCCCCACCCCGCCCAGGATTGGATTACCTCTGTGACAGGGAAGACTTAACTTTACATGGAAAATTCTATCTACAAATCAGAACTTTTTTCATAGAATAGGCCGGTAGGAACTAGGTGAATGTTATTGTACTAGCAGAAGAATTAGGAAAAGACAAAGAAAAATGTTAATTATGTATGTTCTTCCTGTTGTGTGGAGAGAAAAGAAAAACAATTCTTAAAACCAATCAGATTGTATATAGTTGGTTCAATTTGTTGAAATGAAGGAAATGGTTTTTTTTTGGGAGGGTGGGGTGGATGGGAAATGGGGGTGGAGAGAGGGGTGGGAAAATGTTTAAATCAAGTAATACTTTCAATTTAGTAATGCAAGGGATTTTATCCCTTAATATGTATCAAGTAGAAGCAGCATAATATTTAAACTTAGTGTTTTCAGCTTTCTTAGTTATGACATATTGAGTATTTTTATGTTCTCTGGCAGAAATCTGTTTTCTTAACATTTATCTCCTTAATGGCAAAATGTTTGCCTATATTGTAATGCTTCTAAATACTAAGTGTGTTTTATTCTATTTTTGATTTTTTTCCCTTAGGCTGCACCAGTGGTGCTCAGGGCTTACTATTGGCTCTGCACTCAGAAATCACTCCTGGTGGGCTCAGAGAGTGCCACATGGGGTACCAGGGATCAAACCCAGGTTAGTCATGTGCAAGGCAAGTGCCTTATCTCCTGGGCTATCTTTCCAGCCTGGAAACTAACTGTATTTTAGCAAATGCATACATGAAGTAATAGAAAGTTGTTTCAGGCACACAGTGTTCCAACACCAATCCCACCACCAATGTCCCCTTTCCTCCATGAGTGTGCCCAGATTCCCTGCCACCCCACAGCCTGTCCCCTTGGCAAGCACATGACATTTATTTCATATTACTTGTTGCAACAGAACTAAGAGAAATGGCAATCAAATTAGCAAAACTTAAATCAACAAAAGTCAATTAGTAGTGATTGGTTGCTATATGATTGTAACCTATGTAAATAAAAAATTCAAATCTTTTATATAGTATCTTGCCCATTCTCATTTACATGACTAGGTTTTCAACTCTGGCATCTAAAATGTATTGCACTCAATTTTATTTCGTAGTTAGGTCTTAATGTGATAATCATCAAGTCTTCCCTCTCATAATGTAGCTTTTCCCCACCTTTAACCCCTTGGCAGCATGTAACAAATTTATTTCATGTTAGTTGGTCCCCAAAACCTTAAAAGAATGGCAAATAGAATTATCAAAAAATAAATCAGTAAAAGTGATGTATGTATTTTTAAAATACAGTTATTTTTTTAAAAAAAGGTATTTATATTCATGATGTTATTGCTACAAATATGGTAATTGCAATGGAAAAGTTTCCCTTTCTGTGCAATTTCAAAGCCAAGGTTACCTCTGGGTCTGAAATCTGGCCAATGTTCTGGGCAGGAAGCACTCTAGCATGTGGCTGACGTTGCAACTGCTTCTGCATGTGGCAAAGGCTTAGTGCAGTGCTGGGCACTTAATCCTTAATGAACTGCTCTATGACAGACATTGACACTGGTGTGTGGAGGCCCTTGCAATGTCATGAGGCTTCCATGACACATTTGTTATCTCATATCTAAAATGACCACATTTCAAAGAGTTGGAGCCATTGAGTTAATGAGGGTTCCAGCTGTCACTGTATGAAGTAGTTCTAGGAGGCTTGTTGCAGTGTTACTCAACCTTTTCCCAACCACTGTCCACTTCCGGCCTTGTCTTCTTCTTGTGCCTCCCATTCTGCTCTGGCCTAGTGGTTGGTATCCTGGTCTTGTGCCATGGGGGTCCGTTGGAGTACTCTGGTGCTCCAGCTGACTTGAAGTACCACCATTGGGATTGGACTGGAATGTCGGGACATGAATACATGGTGAACGCTGCAGCTTGTGTAATTAACATGAGCATGTGATTGCAGCAAATTCTCATCAAGTGAAGGACAAAGAGGAAGGAAGGTAGGACACAAGGTCGGTTGGCCAACTTCGCCCAGTTTCACTCCTGTGTGATAACGCTGAGTGGCCCACATGGTTTTTGTCTTTGGGGAACAGAACCAGCTCTTCAAATTATTGCTGAATGGAGAAGGGCCTGTGTGAGGGCGCAAAGGGCACAGGCTGTCAACAGGGCTGCCTGGTAAGTTCAGCTTGTGAACAGGACAAAGGGACGAGTCAGGCTGAAGGCCTGCCAGGATGGTCTGGCTGTGAAGCCGAAGGAGGGGGCAGGGACATATTCATTTCGAATCTGCATTGATGTGCAGACTATTGAATGCTACTGTTGAAGAGCAGCATGCTGGATGTTTTCAGACAGGAACGGAGACATCTGTCGCTGAGGAAGCTGAGAGCGTAAGGGAACAGAGTAGATGAGGACATGATTTAAGATCCTTGGAACTAAAGAACTGGAATTGACTGTGGAGTTGCTGGGGGCAAAGGGTGGGGTGGGTGGGGTGGTGGTGGTGCAGGGGTTGGAGTAGGGATGTGAGGGAAGCTGGTAAGTTCAAGAAGAAAGCAGATGCTGGAAAATTAGGATCAGGATACCACTCGCTCAGAGAATCAGCAGCAGGAGAGCAGGTAGCCAGGCCAGCGGGTGAGAGTCTAGGATCAAGTGGGGTTAGCAGGATCCAGGCTGATGTGTTGACACCCAGGGCTTCTTGGGGCTCTTTTCTTTTGAGTAAGAATTAGCCCTAAGCCTACGGTCATTGCTGAGCCTAAAGGGGACATGATGAAGCACTGACAGCCCCGTCTAGAGAAAATGGGGCACTGAGAGGAGTGGTGCCAGCAGTTAGAAAAGGCAATCCGGGGAGTGTGTCTTCCTGAGTGTGTGATAGCAGTTGAGTGACCCACATGGTTTTTGTCTTTGATGAACAGAACCATCTCTTCAAAATTATTGCTGTGCCTGACCCTCCCACCCCCCTGCCCTCACCTCACCTTGCCCAGTTTGCTGTTAGAAAAAAGGAAGTTGTGAGGGAGCATTAACAGAGTCGGAAAAAAGTCTGAAAACTGTTTTGTTTTCAAGTGTCCTTGAATATGGTTTGTTTGTTTGTTTGTTTGTTTTTTGCTTTTAAGGTCACACCTGGCAATGCGCAGGGGTTACTCCTGGCTCATGCACTCAGGAATTACTCCTGGCGGTGCTTGGGGAATCATATGGGAAGTTGGGAATCGAACCCGGGTCAGCCACATGCAGGACAAATGCCCTACCCACTATGCTATCACTCCAGCCCCGGTTTGTTTTGTTTTTATAAATAATGCTGGCACGCTGGCCCTCATTTCTTTCTTTCTTTTTTTTTTTAGTATGCCTGAACCCTAGAAATTCAGATCAAGTAGGAACTCTGGAATCAAGCCTCCAGATGGAGCTGATCTTGACTTATTATTCAGGGAGCCTCCACTGCCCCTCCCCATAGTCCCCAGCACTATATCTTCTTTGCTGATAATTGATTTTACCCGTCTGAAGGGCTAGAGTGATAGCACAGCGGGTAGGGCTTTTGCTTTGCACACGGCTGATCCGGCCAACCCAAGTTCGGTTCCTTGGACCCTCTCGAAGAGCCCAGCAAGCTACCAAGAGTATATTGCCCTCACGGCAGAGCCTGGCAAGCTACCCATGACATATTCCATATGCCAAACACAGTAACAACAAGTCTCACAACGGAGACGTTACTGGGCCCGCTCATTGATGAACAACGGGAGGCCAGTGCCAGTGCAGTGCTACCCTTCTGAAGTTCTGGTGGCCATTTGTGCACTGTCAAAGTTAGTTTTTTTCCTCTGGAGTGCCCCTCTTGTCTTTCATCTTTTTTTTTTTTTTTGCTTTTTGGGTCACACCTGCCAGTGCTCAGGGCTTACTCCTGGCTCTGCACTCAGGAATTACTCCTGGTGGTGCTCAGGGGACCATATGGGATGCTGTAGATCGAATCTGGGACGGCCATGTGCAAGGCAAACAACCTACCCGCTATACTATAGCTCCAGTCCTTATCTTTCATCTTGAGAGATAGATTGACCCTGGAATAGTAGCCTGTGAAATGGTCAGACTCTAAGTCTGTTGCTCTTTGTTTTAAAGTCTCTCTGGTACAACTCATTCAACCTCAGAATTTGTCAGTTTCTTCCTTCATCAGGAAAGTGAGACCTAACCCTAATTTATCAAATTTGTTTCTAGCCTTTAGTGAAGTGATAGACATAAAGTAAATGTTTCATGGATTTGGAGGAATAAACTCAGCAGTGTTCAGGTTTATTCCTGGCTTTGTGCTTAGGAGGGATTCCTGGTGTTACTCAGGGAACAATATGCAGTGCTGGGAATCAAAACATGGATTGGCATATATGCAAGACAAGAGCCTTTTCTCCTCCACTCTCTTCTCTTATGGCTTTTAAAGTTTGCTGCAACGTAAATATAGGAGGATTGAAGCCATGATACAGTGGGGGAAAACATTTGCCATGCATGTGGCCAATCTAGATTTGATCCCCAGCACCATATAGCCAGGAATAAGACCTGAGCACTGCTGGATGTGTCTCTAGAACAAATAAAAAAAATCTAGAAAGTAAACAAAAAAAATTTTTTTTAAGTTAAAGCATTTATTTTTTTAAAGCAAATAGAGAAAAGAGCGGTTGCTAACATTGGGTTTTGTTGACATAGTGACCTCATGCTGGAATAGGTGGATTATTTATATATTGAGTTGCATAGCATAATTTGAGACAAAATAAACATTTGCTCTCAGCCAGAGGATTCTGTTCTCTTGTACTGCCTCGACTGACACTTTAGATGAATAAATTGCCTTATGACAAAAGTGTAAAGTAAGGTTTAGGGACCTGGTTTTTAAGAGGAGCTGCGGGCAAGGTACCCCCATTTGCCCTGTTCAATGGCAAGATCTTAAAATTTGCTTGTTTTGGTCATTGAAACTATACTGAAGGCTTTTTCTTTTGTTTATTTATTTATTTATTTATTTATTTTTTAAAGGAAGGCACATTAGGTTACATTTTAGTTGCTTTTCCTTGGAATGTTTTTGCCCAAAGCAAAATTGAAATTCCATTTATAGAATCTGAATTAGATAATTCATTTATTTATGGAAGCCTTTTCCTGCAAGCAAGAAAAGGAACTATACATGTTTAGCACAAGGATATCCTGGCTGCCCTGGCCTACTTTGTAACTTGAATTTGAATCCTTAGAATTTCCCATGAAATACAAAAGATGGTAGGCTAAGCTTTCTAAAGTTTTTTCAGGCAGTTGTATGCAAAGGCTCTTCAAGAGTAGGTTCATTTTACCTGTTGAAGGTAGAAAATGTTTGCTCTTTCACATGTTTTTGTTTTCAGTTAAACCACATATTACCAAATAAAAAGCAAACATTATCTTGCTTACTTATGTTTTCATGCTCTGTAAAATAACACATAAATTTCTCAAAGATATAATTTGGAGCACAGTTAAGTAATTGAGTAATAATTACTGAATTATTTCCCTAGATCTTTACAGGCTGGCCTTATGTAAACATATAAATTAAAAAAAATGCTGACATTGGTAATTGTTAACTTATTGGATCATTGCACAATTGTCATTCTTGGAGGAGTCTTAAATATTTAGTTAAGCCAAATGGTGCTGGCAAAACTGGACAGCTACATGCAAAAAACTGGGCTCAGATCTCTGCCTAACACCACGTACAAAAGTAAGATCAAAACAGATTAAAGACCTCAACATCAGACCGGAATCCATAAGGTACACTGAAGACAAAGTCGGCAAAACCCTCCATGATATTGAAGCTAATGGTGTCTTCAAAGATGTCACGCCACTGGCTAAGCAAGTGAAAACAGAAATAGACAAATGGGACTATCTTAAACTAAGAAGCTTCTGCACCTCAAAAGAAACAGTGACCAAAATACAAAGACAGACCACAGAATGGGAAAGGATATTCGCCCAATACACCTCCAACAAGGGGCTAATATCAAGGATATACAAAGTACTGGTTGAACTCCACAAGAAGAAAACATCCAACCCTATCAGAAAATGGGGCGATGAAATGAACAGAAACTTCAGCAAAGATGAAATTCGAATGGCTAAAAGACACATGAGAAAATGCTCTACATCATTAAACATCAGGGAGAAGCAGATCAAAACAACAATGAGATATCATTTCACACCACAGAGACTGGCCCACATCCACAAGAACAAAAGCAACCAGTGCTGGCGCGGATGTGGTGAGAAAGGGACCCTCCTTCACTGCTGGTGGGAATGCTGACTGGTTCAGCCCTTCTGGAAAACAGTATGGACGATTCTCAAAAAACTAGAAATTGAGCTCCCATTTGACCCAGCAATTCCACTCCAGGGAATATACCCCAGAGAGACAAAAAAGTATAGTCTAAGTGACATCTGCAGTTGTCTGTTCATTGCAGCACTGTTTACAGTAGCTAGAATCTGGAAAAAACCTGAGTGCCCAAGAACAGATGACTGGTTAAAGAAGCTTTGGTACATCTACACAATGGAGTACTATGTAGCTGTCAGAAAAGATAAAGTCATGAAATTTACATACAAGTGGTACTACATGGAAAGTATCATGCTAAGTGAAATGAGTCAGAAAGAGAGGGATAGACATAGAAAGACTGCATTCATCTGGGTAACATAAAGTAACAAAATAGGAGACTAACACCCAAGAATAGCCGAGATAAGTACCAGGTGGATTACTCCATGGCATTGAGGACAACCGCAAATGCTAGGGGAAAAGGCAGCTCAGACAGAGAAGGGAGCACCAAATAAAGGGTGTTGGGAGGTTCCTCTCAGGATGGGAAATGCGTGATGAGAGTAGACTATAGTCCGAACAAGATTGCCACTCAATATCTCTTTCGCAAACCATAGCACTCAAAAGGAGAGAGATAACAAAAGGGAATGCCCTGCCACAGTGGTCGGGTGGGATGAGAGATGGGGGGAAGGGGGGTGGGAGGGATACTGGGACTGGTGGTGGTGGAGAATGGGCACTGGTGGAGGGATGGTATTTGATCATTGTATAACTGAAACCCAAGCACAAAAATTTGTAAGTCTACAACTGTACCTCATGGTGTTTCACTAATAAAAATTTAAGGAAAAAAAATTTAGTTAAGCATGTTATTTGGTGACATTTTGACCCACAATGAAATGCTTTCTAGGGCAGTCTTAAACCTAGTATTAGTAATTTCTAACAGTACCTCAGTACTAGCCTAATTTGTGGATTCTAGAATTTTCAGGATTGCTAATCCCTGATACCTAAACCCATCAGGACGTAAAACTAAAAAGGCTTAACTATTATACATTTTCAAAGAAGTCTCAGAATATATAAATAACTGTATTGTGTTCTTTAGGATTTTTATATTAATGCTAAATTCATGTTTGGATGGAAACATTTTTTAAAAAATGGCATTTTGCTGAGACCGGTTCAAAGGACTGAGACAAATGCTTGCCAATTGCCTGTCCCACAGACTGTCTATATCTTGTCCATATGAAGCCTGACTTATGGCCTCCAGTTGAAGTGTTTTATATCATGAACTACTGAGATGGGAAATTGGCCTCTCAAACCCAGTTGGACCCCATTCCTTGACTTTCTCAGTTCCCAGGGCCCAAGAGAATGAGGAAAGCTAACATCTACTGAAAATGTTTCAGGCGTCAGCTCTGCACTAGTCACTGTGTCTGTCTTTGATTCTTCACTAAGTTTCTTCACAGATGCAAGTAACATTTCAAACACTTCCTTAAACTTTCCCCCTAATAATCCCCAATTTATATTCTTTCTGTATCTGGATACTTTCTTTCCTCACTCGTCCCAAAGGTGGATAGGTTAATAGGTGTGTCCAAATTGTTGCTGTTGGAGAACTGCTGGGGGTATGAGTGTGCTGGGTGATGAGGATACAGGGCTTCCTGTCCGTGGTTGGCTGCTTCCAGCCTTGTGTGCTGAGCCTTTGATGGGCTCTAGTGAAGCAAGACCCTGGTCTGGCATATGCTGGTTGGAAAATGAATGAATACAAATTACCATCAAGTGTCAGAAGTGTTTGGGGTCTTTTTATTTATCTATTTACTTTTTATCTAAACAGCATGGTTTACAAAGCTGTTTCATAATACAGTTGTTTTGGGCATTCTGTGTTCCAGCACCCATCCCTCCACCTCTCCCAAGTTTCCTATCCACCTCCCAAATCACTGCACTGCACTGCACTGCACTGGACTGTACTGTTCTCTTGTTGTTCGTTGATTTGCTCCAGCGGGCCCAGTAACGTCTCCATTGTGAGACTTGTTGTAATATATTTTATGTAGCTTGCAACAACAAAATGGAAAGTGGACTTATAAAAAAGTAGTTCAGTAAAAGAAAATTTGTGAAAATTGTTAGATCTCACTACAGTTATTAAAGTCATTGCCTGAGGACTTACTGAGCCGTTTATGGCTAATTGAACCTTCTGTGTTACTGTTTGCTCTTATTGAGCTTCGGGGTCTTTTTAAGAAGAAAGTTTTCTTTTTTATTTTTCTTCTGGGTTTTGGTCCACACCTGATTGATGGCTCTTGGACTTATTCTGTGCTCAGGACTTAACTCCTCCCTGTGCTTGGGAACCATATGTGGTGTGGTGTCTAAGTGGGGTTGGCCACATGAAATGCAAACACCGTGACCCCATCAGTGTCTCTTGGACCCAGCATATTTTCTTTTTTCCCCTTTTATTGTGACCAAAAATGGTGATATGAGAACTTAAGTTCTCACTTATATCAGTGATTTTGTTACATGTGCTCTCCAAGTTGCAAATCCCAGAATTAATCAGTGCAGTTAAGTGTGAACTTACTGTGCCAGAATTAGAGGCACGTGTAAATTAAAGTTTGATCATTTAGACCACTTGTTTGCTTTCTCCTAACATACCTTCATTTCTAACTTACAATAGTGGCATGTGGGGTGGTAGCTTATGAGCAGTGAGAAGCAATTTCCCTGGGTAATCACTGCAGTTTATAATGGCTTGGCAAACAACTTCACATCATCATTAGCTCCAGATGGTCTCAGCTCTAATAGAGCCCAGCACAATTAAGCATTTATTAAGACGAACACCTCATTTTCAAGAAAAACCTAAATTATGTTCGCTGTATGCCACTTGTGAAAGCCAAAGAAGGCTTCATTTTAATATTTTCCACTTGAACGTGTTTTATTGTTGGAGGCAGTATTACATTATTTGGAAATGTATTCGGTGAGGCTTGCACATCTGGCACTGCATTATTACAGTTGATGTTGATAGATACAAACTGAAAAGAGAGGAGATGAACTAAACTGCTCAGAGATGTAGAAAAAATGCTAAGAGGTGCGGAAAAAAGGTCTATTTTATGTCACGTACATTGAAGGAACTCTAGTATGAATCCATAGCTATTAAATTTCTCCTTGCTTTTAATTACACCAAAAATGAACTCTTACTCTTTTCTGTCTTTAAAGCAAAAGTGTAAACTAACTAAATGTATTAGTTTAAAATATATACTCTGTAAGATTTTTTTCCTCTGCATCTTATAAGCCTCATATTCTAAGAGGATTGTCTAGGTTTTGTACACAGATTTTCACTGAATGATACTGCCCATTTGTTATTTTAAAAACTGGCATGTAATTAATTAGCTGATTTTACCTGTGTTATGATATTGACAAAATCAAATCGGTGTGTCTGAAAAGTGTATAAAATTTGAGGATATGGAAAATATTTTTAGTTTTAGTTTTTTGGGAAGGTTGTGGCTCCAACATGCTGAGCATGAGTTCAACTCTTTGAAATATTTTTCTAGCCCTCTTACAGTTATTTTAAATTAGAAAAAGAACTTATAAAAATTGTGACAAATAGCATTTAACAGTCATTTTGAACACTGAATAAATGTTTATTTACATCTGCAGGCATATATTTACTTTATATTGAGAGATAAGAAATAAATGTTCTTTAATGGTTTTGGAAATGATTTATGAAATAAGATGTTAAAATTGTGTTGAGTATAATTTTTTCCCTTGCGATAGAACAGAAGCCACTAGCTTTGAAACTATAGACATGCTCACTGGTCTAAAAATAAATCATGTTATGTTGATTAAAGAAAAGAGAACAGGGGCAGAGGGTAGGATTGACCTTAGACATGGCCAACCTGGGTTTTGATTTCTAGTATCCTATATGGTCCACTGAGCACTGACAAGGAGTAATTCCTGAGTGTAGAGCCCAGTGTAATTCCTGAGCATTGCCAGGTGTGGCCTAAAAATAATAAAAATAACAACAACAAAAACAAGAAAAGAGAACATGGATGGGATAGAGAAACAGCACAGAGGTTAAGTTCCTTACCTTGTATACTTTCAGCCCTGGTTCGCTTCCTTGGGGCTGCTTGCAGTGATATGCACTGCTGAGATTGAGCCTTGAGAACTGAACAGGAATCGCCCTGAGCACTGCCTAATTTGTGACCCAATAGCCCTCCTCATCTTCACAAAAATCATAAGAAGAGTAAAGGAAAGAGTACAAGGAGAGACACTTAGAAATGTTTTGTTTCTGCACACTTAGAGCTATTTCCAAAGTAACAAACCTATACTTTTTCTTTCTGCTTTTTTCTTTCTTTATTTACTGAAGCTATGTTTGAGACATTATAGAAATTAGTTTGTATATTCGTCTTGCATTATCTTTGCATCTTCTTCTTCATGTTTCAGGTGTGCCAGCCATGAGAGGGTACCTTGTAGCCATATTCCTGAGTGCTGTCTTCCTCTATTTTGTGCTGCACTGTATTTTATGGGGAACAAGTGTCTACTGGTGAGTGTTACTCTTGCTCCTTAAAAATAACTCCCAAAGTAGTTCTTCAAACAGAAACACAAATGATAGTAGAAAGGCCTATGTGAAACTCTAAGATTTTAAGCCTTTTCTAACTTTGCAGTGGTAAACTTAAATTTTCCCATTGCAAAATCCAGTACACTGTATCTTTGTTTAAAAGCTGACAAATTGCACCTATTCATCGTCTCATAATGGCAATAGTATTGGCTATCTTGAAACACAATCCTATTTACAGAATATTTTAGGTTCTTGGATTAATAGAATAATTCTTGGAGCTTAATGATACTTAATGATACTTTAAAATCTAAAATGCCTGGACAATTAGTTACTGATAAAGTTAGATTCTACATGTGGGTTTCTTGGTTTAATAGTAGTTGATGACTATACACACACACACACACACACACACACACAGATATACATCTATATAGCTCCACTTGAAATGACTTTGACTTGAAATTTAACATATATGGACTTGATCCTAGTAGTATATAAAAAAAGGTCATGTAGAAAACTTGGTGAGACACAGTTGTTCTAATTGCAAAGAAAATTTCCATGATAAATCTTTAAGTCATCATTAGTCCTCTGACTAAGAACAAAACTTAGATGACCTTAAATTCCTGGGTGGCAGCACATACTTCTACAAAAATAAATATTTTAATAACTTCCTTTATTAGGCAGAACTTTAGTATTTATTACCAGTAATTCAGTAGTACTGGGCTGGAGCAATAGCACAGCGGGTAGGGCGTTTGCCTTGCACGTGGCTGATTTGGGCGACCCGAGTTCAATTCCTCTGCCTGAGATTCCTCCACCCCTCTCGGAGAGCCCAGTAAGCTACCGAGAGTGTCTTGCCGACACGGCAAAGCCTGGCAAGCTACCCCTGACGTATTTGATGTGCCAAACACAGTAACAACAAGTCTCACAGTGTTATTGGGCCCACTCGAGCAAAACAATGAATAACGGGAGGACAGGGACAGTGACAATTCAGTAGTAGACAGAATACAAGTTGCTGCTTCTGCCTTTAATGTCATCATTGGTAGTTTCAAAAATAATATTAGTGCTTCCTTCATGAAAGGAAGTTAGGCAAATGATCACTGGGGGGAAAATGACAGGTGCATAGTGTTAAGTAAATAAAAATCATGATTGCATGAAGAAAAGGAAGAGATCTCTATTTTTCCGATAAATTTTGGTCTGTCCAAAGGAAGAAAGAGGAAGAAATCCATAGAGCAATAATTCTGAGTACCCGCTTGCTTCTCCTGAGGATGGTTTCAACCTAGAGGAAGTTGGGACAAGCAGGCTATACTCAGTAGAAAGAAAGTTTACATTTAAACCAACCCTTGTGTTTGATGGGCATATGAAAATTAATTTCTAACACAGCTGAATAATAAAAATGCCTGGTAAGAAAGAACTTGAGATTGTTATCTCTGAGCAGGAGCTATTCTAGGTGCAAGAAGATGCAAGTCAAGAGGTAGTATATCATAAGCGGTTCTATATTGGCGGTTAGGCTGATCTTGTGCCCTGGTCTTTATAGCCTGGTGGTCTCTATATACTCCAAGGAGGGATTGGTACATAGACCAGCCAGACTTTTCACAGCTTAAAAGGAAGCTTTCAAAAAAAATCGGTAAATTCAACTCCTTGTATTCATCCCACAGTAGGTTTGGCCATGAGCAAAAGTAATGCTGAGCAAGAGAATTTCAACGTTGAAATATATTTTCCATGAACATTATACTGTAGCCATCTCCCCATCCTCTCTGTCCCTTCTGTATGTTTCCCACACTTAGAGCTGGAAGACTTGAATATACCAGGAAGCAAGAAGCTTTCAAGATTGCAACATCCCGGGGCTGGAGAGATAGCAGAGCGGGTAGGGCGTTTGCCTTGCATGTGGCCGACCGGGGTTCGATTCCCAGCATCCCATATGGTCCCCTGACCACCGCCAGGAGTAACACCTGAGTGCAGAGCCAGGAGTAACCCCTGTGCACCGCCAGGTGTGACCCAAAAAAAGCAAAAAAAAAAAAAGATTGCAACATCCTTACAAATCATATTGTTGGTCAGGGAAATGAGAAAGAAGACTATGAAAAGGATCAGAATTCAGCATTGTCTTCATTATTGGACTTTTGAGAAATGTCTGTATCACTTTTAAACTAATACATTAAATCACAAAAAGTACTGTGGAAAATTCCTTCAGATGGGAGCTTGTACTGTGAACTTACATCCTTAAAAGTTATTTAAGATAGATTATTGTCTTTCAAAATGCACACACAAACACACATACACACACCAAAGTTTATCTATGCATTGTCCTACAAGTTTATATTATGTTCAAAATAAAATATCATAATTTTGTCCTCTAGAAAAATTTTATTTTTATGGTCTGTGCTGGACCACCACTTTCCTGTATATTCTTCATGTATATAATTTAAAGGAATCTTGCCATTTATATAATTTATTAATTATTATTATTAGCTTTGGGGGCCACAGCCAGCAGTGTCAATGGTTATTCCTGGCTGTGTGCTGAGTGTTTCCTGGTGGTGTTTGGGGGACCATGTGTTCGGTCAACTGCATACAAGGCAAGTTCTCTATACCCCTATATTATATCTCAGGAACTATCATATTATAAAAGGTGTTTCTTCACATATTTCCGAGACCTAGAAGTTCTGGCTTATGGGGACTGGTGCCCTTGAAAAGTTAAATCTGCCCTTAAAGAGTTGAAGCTCTTTCCTACCGTTTGAAATGGCAAATCATAGAAAAAATTATTATTTATTTTAAATGAATTCATAACACAATTTATGATTACTAATAAGTTTTTTCATTAATTTGTTTTCCTCTTTCCTTGCCAAGTTTGGGTCCTGCCATTCCAACCCATTAGTTTATTTATGTTGTGCTCTGTTTCACAATATCCTTTTACATAATGGAGACAAATGGTTCATTGAGGAGAGTCACAAGGGTCTAACCTATCCCAAGAGTGGAGGAGAGCTAGATATGAGTCTAAGTGTTTGTGATGCGTGTTGTGACACCCAGATCACAGACCAGGTTGCGTGACACTATGTAGGTTGCTGCTAAAAGATATCCCGAGAAGTGGCATTTGCATGGCCATACATACTTAAGATGACCTGAGATTTCATAGGATTTTAAGAGACTTCTAGAAGAGGGAGTCTGCTCTGACTTCCCTTTGAGTGGGGGATCTCCTCACCCTTCTGAGAAGGTGCTTTGGATTCTTGGCCATTGAATTCCTTTTGGGTCACTTTCCTGTACTTGCTTGCCTGGCGTCTTTGAGTCTTCAACTGTGTGTAGAAGTGGGAGGAGTGACTGTCAGACTGAGGTGTTGCTGTGAGGAGTTTTATTCTTTCCCAAGAAGCTTCTTGGTGTCATTTAATGGATTCCCAAGGCGTTTGCTTCCTTTTGGGCAGGCTGCCCAGTTCTGTTTCTGACTGACACTATTTTTGTCTCATAGGGTGCCACCTGTGGACATGAAAAGGAGACATCAGACCCGGCCTTGTTTATCAAAGCCTGCTTTTGCCTCTCTCCTGAGGTAAAAAAATAAAGAAATTGTGACATACAAAATATTGAAAAAAATATATGTGTGATCATTTTCCACACTTGTTTACTTTCTTTCCCATACAAGTCAGTGTCAAGTGGAATTCTATATTTAAGGAAGAGCTTGAATATCCTGTCTCTTTTTTGTGCTCTTAGTCAGAGTTCTGCATGTATTTTAAGAAAAGGCACTGAAGAACTCAATCAGACCAGTGTTCTTTCCTCACAGGTGAGATTAGAGAGGTTTCTTTGTGTATAGTCATAAAAAGTGAACTATTCTTCAGGTGTTTATTTTTGCCCTCTTGTTCCAATGTTCTTTTTCAATCTTGAAATTTTTCTCTTTTGTCTCCAGATTAAGATTTATGGTTAGAAACTTTTCCTGGCTTTTAGTGACTTTTCATAATAAGATAAGTAGAAAATAACTAGAAAATAATGATACATCCACACAGAATGTAAAGTTTTTTGTCACATTTCTGAGGGGAATACAGAACTTAACTTTATTCACAAATACTTTTTTCTGAAATCACAAATTGCAGTCAAAATAGATTGCATTCAGAATGTTGCAATAAATAAATTATAAATGGGGGCCAGAGTGATAGTACAGTGGGTAGGGTATTTGCCTTGTACACGGCTGACCAGGTTTGATCCCCAGCACCCCATATGGTCCTTTGAGCCTGTCAGGACTGATGCCTGAATAAGCCCTGAGCACCAGAGCTCCCCAAAAGAATGTTTCTAAATAAATACAAGTAAATGGTGGTCTGATTTGAGTATTTTGTAATTTTTTTCAGGGGTAGGCTTTAATTTGTTTTATTTTAGACACTCCCTGTAGTGTTCAGGGGGTGTGTGACCAGGGCTCAGAGTTTGGGCTCCCACATGCAAAGAACGTGTTCCTCCCTTGGGACATCCATCTCTGACCCCTTGTCTGGGCATAGTTAATTGTATAAAAGAGGTTGAAGAATTTCAGCAATTCACCATTAAAGGTAAAAAAACTATTTCACATTTTATGATATATTTTTAGTAAAGTAAAATCATTTTATGAAATTTACTTAGATAAATGTGAAGGGAGATAAATGTAAAAACATGATATATTTTTGGTAAAGTAAAATAATTTTATGAAATTTATTTAGATAAATATGTGTGTATTTCTGTGTGTATATATACACATATTTATATACACACATGCATATGTGTATAATATATATAAATGTATACAAATGTATAGCACTGTAGCACTGTCCTACTATTGATCATCGATTTGCCTGAGCGGGCCCAGTAACATCTCCATTGTGAGACTTGTTGTTACTGTGTTTGGCATATGGAATACGTCACGGGGAGCTTGCCAGGCTTTGCCGAGTGGGTGAGATATTCTTTGTAGCTTGCCGGGCTTTCCCAGAGGGGCAGAGGAATCGAACCTGGGTCCCCCGGGTCAGCCGTGTGCAAGGCAAATGCCCTACCTGCTGTGCTATTGTTCCAGATCTCAATTGTATATATGTATATAAATATGTGTATATATATAAAATATATATACACATATTTAATATATAAACATATATACACATATATTTATATACACATATATATGTATATACATAGATATTCATATATGTGCATATGCATATATATACACATATATACGTATATTTATCTAAGTAAATATATACACACTTGTTTATACACTTGTGTGTATATATTGTGAACCAATTTTGAGAATAGAGAATGAGCCTGATTTTTAAACTTGTATTCCTGTACAAGCCCAGCCGGTGCTGTTTCTGAACCTCCTGGGTAATGCCACTGTGTTGAGTAAAACTCAGAGGCTTCTCCTTGAAGTGAGAGGGCTTCAGACACACCGCTCCAGAGATGGGGAAGAACAGTATCAAAAGGGGCACCATCTCCCATAATGTGCCCTTCCGTACAGTGACACTGTACCTTTCCATCACTGGTTCTTAATTTTTTGTGACTACCGATCCCTTTAAAATGAACCAGTTCCCAAGAAACCTGCAGAGACACGAAATACTGCTGCATTTTATTACAGCTGTGCCAGGGTTCCTGGTAGTCCATTGGTATGTTCTGTTCAGGACTACTGCAAAATGAGAAGACTTGTTTTTAAACATTTTGATTGTGACACAGAGGAAGAAATAGATTTTGCTTGAGAACCTAATACACATGTATGTTTCTGTTTTATATCGCTGTGCTATCGCTCCAGCCCTTAAAACTATATGCTCACATTAATTTAAGAATTGGTTTCATAGCCAGCTATGCATTGTGGTCTGCAGGTTTAAAAATGCTGCTGTTAGGATGGAATTTACTATATGGAAGTTTTCTTTGTTTGGGAGCCACACCCAGAAGGGCTCAGGGCTCATTCGTAGCTCTGTACACTGGGATCATCCTGGCAGCGCTCAGGGGTTCATATGCTGTGCCAGGGATCGAATCTAGGTTGACTGCATGAAGGTAAAAGCATACCCACTGTTTGCCTCTCTGTCCTTTACAGAAGCTTTACATTTTATAATTTTTATTTTATGGTTTGTATTTTGTGTCTGGTTAAAGCCATCTTTCTGTATCCCAAAATAATAATATCTTCATTTGTGGACTTTTGAAAATATAATCATTAAAAAGAATGCTGCTTTAGAATCAAGGGCTACCTTCAGGTAGTGAAGACAGATTGTTTCCTTTCCAATAAAACCTGACGAAGGTTCAATTATTTCTTCAGTGTAGTTCAGAGCAAGCATGAAAGTCTCCTATCTCATGAATTTATCCTCTGGGCGCTAGCAGGAGAACCTTTACTGGGACACTTGGAGGTATTATATGGCAGTGTTGGAAGGAGGGCACATTTCTTCAAACCTGGGTACATTTCAGTTTTGTTCATAGGGATTAGTGATGCCATAGAGTACGGTTGCTTAACTTCTCATTACTTCAGTTCCTTTGTCTACATTAACAGGCTTAGCTTCCTCGCTAGACTTGGTAGGAGTAACACGGTTGAAATTAATTTAATATGATGCACTGAATTGCAATGTAATAGACAGTGTGATATAATATACTGTTATATAATGGGATATATAATTATGAAGGATGATTCATGCTGTGTATGAAATGTGGTGCTGAACAATTATTTCATTTAGAAATAAAATGTCACCTAACCTGACTTGTTTATCTGCATAACAATAAACTTGAATCTTGAGTCCCCACCATTACCCCACAAATTCCAAAGAACAGAGTGCTTCATTCCTTGTCCTTTCATCTGCAGCTCACTTTCCCAAGGAAAACTGGAGTAAGATGAGATTTCCCTGAATCTTAAATTAGGAGACCTGACACTTCCTCTTCCCAGAGTAGATCCTGAGCAGGGAGATCCACTCCCATACTGAAAATGACCTTTTAAGGTTGACTGTATGGACCCCCAAACTTCCAGAACTATCAGGGCTGAATCTGAAACACACATCATGTCTCACCCCCGGAAGGGCTGGTCTTTCATCTGTTTCCTTGGTCTGAGCATGATGCAGATTCTTAGTTCCTATGAGCTATCAGTGCTGAGTGACCCTAAAGTAAGAACAAAACTGTCTCATCCCTAGTCTTCTTTCTATTTTTTTTTCTTTTGGCTTTTTGGGTCACACCCAGCAATGCTCAGGGATTACTCCTGTCTCTGCACTCATAAATTACTCCTGGCAATACTCCCAAGACCATATGGGATGCCGGAGATTGAACCTGGTATCAGGCATGCCCTACCTACTGTATTATTGCTTTGCTATACTATTGCTCCGGCCCCATCACCCCTAATCTATTGCTGTTTATTTCTAACTTTCCATGAAACCTCTGAAGCCCCAGGGATACTCTATGTTCAGTTTTTAAAGAAAGGACAAAGTTGGTAGAGCGGAAAGTGGGACTTCTGGAGAGGATGTGATAAGAATTCGCTTGATTTGTTTGTTATGATGTATCTTTTCCACTTAGTAGGTGAAAATAATGTGAGCCCAAGCAATAGTACAGCTAGTAGGGCGTTTGTTTGTATGCAGCTGACCTCGGTCTGATCTCTGGCATCCCATATGTTTCCCCAAGTACTCCCAGGAGAGATTCCTGAGTGCAGAGCCAAAGGAACCTCTGAGTGTTGCTGGGTGTGGCCCAAAAACAAAACAAGAAACTCTTTTTTCCTACTTTGCCATTAAAATTCTTTATTGAGTAGGCCATATGAAGACACGTGCCATTGCTATTCTTGAGTTAATTTTAATTTCATGATATCAGGAAAATTAGTGCTTGCTACAACTAACTTCTAATATATCTTTACTTTTACAACTGACACAAACTTCATACGTGGGATATATTTCACTTTGGAGTGGCTTAATGTTATTTTTATGTTCCCCTATTGCTTCCTTTATTTTCTCCTGTATAGTCTGTTTTAATTTATTTGTTTTGGGGCCATACCCAGTACTGTTCAGGGGTTATTGCTGGCTCTACACTCAGGAGTCACTTATGGTGGTGCTCAGTGGACTATTATATGAGATGTCAAAGATTGAACCCGGGCCAGCCTCATGCAAGGCAAATGCCCTATCCACTGTACTATCACTCTTGCCTGGTATTGATTGTTTTAAAATGTTCCTTTAACCCCCACATTCTTAGCCCATAGCTATAATCTAACTTTTGGTTTCATTTTTTTTGAGAAGTATTTCTGTTCTGGTTACCTAGTACCTACTGTTGCATTTTCATTCAATGTAATATTTAATGCTATTTAGGATGTTTTTATATAAAGAATTAAAAAATATAAGAACCAACACCAGGTGCAGAAATGTATTAACAATATGAGTAATATGCTGCAGGTATTTTTAGTTGTGATTTTTAAAGCCAGCAAATATTATAGGGTATTTGGGAAAATCATTGTTGATTCTTTTCTTCCAGGTTCCATCAATTTCACCCTTTTCTGTGTGCATCTGATTTGAAAAAGATTGCTTCCTTGTATGGTAGCGATAAATTTGATTTGCCCTATGGGACAAGAACATCAGGTCAGTAGTAGTATTCTTAGCCTTTCTTGTTCAAATTAAGCAGTGTTTCGTGGATTTCATATTATTACAGAATTTTAGGGCCATTTAAACCTTCTGGTTTTGTTTTGTTTTTAATGATTCCAAAGGGTATGCTTTTGGAATGGAACCAAGGGAATTAAATCTTAAAATATAAATTCTTGTAAGTTTCAAGGCAGTACAGAGTAGAGACTTATAAAAAAAATTATTTACTTTTTATTTTGGGGCCACAACTGGCTATGCTCAGGGCTTACTCTTGGCTCTATGCTCAGGGATTACTTCCAGGGACCACATGGGTTGCTGGGGATATGCCGAGGCCAGCCACATGCGAGTCAAGCACTCTGACCCAAGAATAGAGGCAGTTTTACAGAGCTGACTTTGTTGTTGCTGAGAAAGAGCATTTTAGTTTTGTTTTGCCACCATATGATCCACATGAATTCCAGTGCCATATAATTAGAATTGGCAGGAAAATCCTATGGTAATTCCCCACCTTTCTCCCATTTTACTACTGGAGTGGATGTGGCATTGTTACCTTCTCATCTTTGAGGTTTATTTTATTTCATCAGCAAATTCTAGATTCGTGGTCAGTCTTTCGATGTAATCAGTAGGCATTTTATTTTGTTAAATTTATAGATAATTACGTCATTTTCTTTCTGCTTGTTGACAACTAATTTGATTTACCTAGTTTTATAACATTTCTGTTTCTCTCTATAAAATATTTATATTTTATTTCTGGGCCACACCCAATTGTGCACAGGGCTTACTTGTAGCTCTGTGCTCAGGGATCACTCCTGGGAATGCTCAGGGAACCATATAGGATCCTGGAGATCGAATCTTGATCTACTGTGTATAAGGCAAGAGTCTGATCCACTGTGCTATCTCTTTGACCCCTGCTTCTATATTTTTGACATATTCTAAAAGCCCAAGTAATTCTATATGTTCCTGAATTGATTTTCCTTCAAGTGATCCTGGTGTGTGTGTGTGTGTGTGTGTGTGTGTATGTGTGTGTGTGTGTGTGTGTGTGTGTGTGTTTGAGAGAGAGGGAGGAAAGGGAGGGAAAAATCATAAAGAATTTGACAACTTAATAGATTTTCCTTGCCAAATGATGATTTTTATACTGCTGTCAGTTTGAGAAGCATCTTGATATTGCTATATTGCTAATTTGAGGGTTCTCATAATTGTTTTCAGATTAAATATTTTTTCCTGAGGCTTTAGGAAAGTATTTTTAGCACATTTATCATTGTTAATGTCCACTGACTAGTGTTGGCTAATTGCTGCAGCAGCATTAATTTCGCTGCAGAAGAAATACAGTGTGAAATTATTAGCTTGTGTCCCCGCCGCTGCCGTGACCAGGTGCCCTGATGCATTCCTCCAGCTGACAGGCAAAAGAAATGGGTCACAAGCTGATGGCCAGCAACCTCTTTACTGAAACCAAGCAGGACTTATTTAGAGAAAGAGAAATTGTGTTTCATAAAGGGTGGGGGATAGGGATTGACAGAGAGGGGAAGTAAAACACGAAGGAAAAGTTTTGCCATAAACACAGAATTGGGAGCACTCCTGTGAAATCAGTTGGGCCCCAGGAGAACTGCAGTGTGTGTGGCATTGGGAGCAGGGGTGACAAGCAATTCAGATAACATGAGTGAGAGAGAAAGGGCAGGTTCAAGCCTGAGATACTTGGAACTAAAGAACAAAATGATTCAGCCAATTCTGTTATGGGAGACGGAACTCCTTCTAGTGCTGAATTTCCCATCTCTGAAGCCCTCTGGCCTTGAGGAGAATCTCAGAATCTTTACTCAAAAGAGTGGCACTGGACAGCTTGGGTAGGACGCCATGCCAGCAGTTAATCCAACAAGTTGGAAATGGGTTTGGGTGAAGGGAAAGGACAAGAGGACTTATTGCGTTCCTACAAATGACAATTCCTTTGATTCATAATATCCTATTTGTTTTCTAGTGGAATATTTTCAAACTGCACTTTCAAAACTTCAGAGTTGTGATCTCTTTGATGAATTTGACAGGTGGGTTTATTTCACTGTTTCTCTTTGACCATTTAATTTTATCTAAGGTGGTTCAAAATAAAATACCTGCAAGATATAAAATGCATTTACTGTAGAAAATTCAAGATAAGTTTTTCATAACCATTAGTTGTTATTTCTATAACTTTCGAAATAAACTACAAACTTTAGAAGCTGAATAACTAGTTGTCTCAAAAATTTGAAGACTAATGGTGAGCAAAACTAGTCTCAATGCTAGGCCTTTTTCAATGCACTTTCATCTTTTCTAAGTAGTTGATACTCATGAATTGAATTAGAGTCCCTGTCAACTAGCTCAGCCTTCCTCCACTGGCTGTTTCCCATATGATCCCAAACATTGTTTCAACTCATGAGCATCACTTTTCTTTCACTGGATTCATTGGATTTCAGAATTCAGTGAATTCACTATTTCATTGGATTTCAAAAACTGCCCCTTTCCTTTTATTCAGCATATCTGAAGGAAGCATAGAGCTTGTTTATCCATTTTATGTCTATAAAGGTAATTTTGTTTGTAGAAAATTTTGTGAATTTAACCCTCTAGGAATTGAATAGATTTTAGCAGGAAACCTTATTTTATCTTACAGAGGTAGGCTTTTCCTTTCTTTCCTAACAAAGTTTGAACTATACTTTAGAACCTGGCCAGTGATCTATCTGGCCACTGCAGGAGGTGTGTAATCTCCACGAACAAAGAAAATGGGAGAATATTTTTCCTCTTAACTGAGAATATAGAGATGCTATATTTCTATATCGATGGCATAGAAATAAGGGTAATACACAGAACTGGAAAAATGGAAATAGATTTTATAACAAAGATCTAGATTTTTCTAAGAGTCTTTTTCTCTACTTGGGTCCAGATTATGAAATGTGGCTTAGAATTTGTGGGCTCACTTCAGTTTGTGTTACCTAATCACTTAATCACACTTAACTTCCCATTAGTCGTCGATTTGCTCGAGCGGGCGCCAGTAACATCTCCATTTGTCCCTGTCGCGTGCTAGTGTAGCCCAATGGCATCTGTTCGCTCCGGGAACATGGAGGGCCTCCCTCAAACTGATCGTTCATGATTTTGATGAAGAAGTCTGACCATCTGGTAGGTAGGCGGCCACATGGTCTTTTGACATCCCTTGGAATCCAGTCGGTAACAGCTCTAGTCCAGCAGTTGTCTTTAAATCTCATTACGTGACCAGCCCATCTGATTTTCGACACCTTGGCAAATGAGACAGCATCCCTGATTCTTGATCGTCGACGGATGTCAGAACTCCGGATTCTTTCTCTCATTTAAGTGAAACGTGATATTCCAAGCATAGCTCTTTCTATTCTTCTTTGGGAGACCTGAATAGCGTTCTCATCTTGTTTGCGTAGGGCCCAGGTCTCTGAGGCATATGTTAATGCAGGAAGAACAGTGGAATCAAAGAGATGTGCCCAGAGCCGGAGGTTCTTCGTCCTCTTAGCTATTTCTTCGACGTTCTTGAAGGCGTTCCAAGCCGCTCTCTTCCTCCTGCGTAGCTCGGGTGCCAGGTCATTTGTCATGTTGACCTCTCGACCTAGGTACACATAGCTGTTGCATTTGGAGATGGTCATTCCGTTGAGAGCGAATGGGGCGTCAGGAACGAGGCTGTTTCTCATAAACATTGTCTTCGTAAGATTCAGCTGTAGTCCTACCTTTCCACACTCACGGTCAAAGTCGGCCAGCATTTGTGCCGCTTGGCTGATATCTGGTGCTATTAAAACAATGTCATCAGCAAAGCGGAGGTGGTGTAGTTACCGACCATCTATCTTCACTCCCATTCCTTCCCATTCCAGTCGTCGCATGATGTTCTCGAGGGTGGCACTGAAGAGTTTTGGTGAAATGGTATCACCCTGCTGCACCCCTCTCTTGACATCAACGATCACTTCTTTGTAGAATGGTGAGATCCTGGTAGTGAATCCGCAATATAGCTCACGGAGGATCCTGATGTATTGGGCTTGAATGCCTGATTGGCTAGGGCTTCAATGACCGCTTCCATCTCAACAGAATCAAAGGCCTTCTTTAAATCAATGAATGTTAAACAGAGCGGCATCTTGAACTCCCGAGAAACCTCAATGAGCTTGGTTATCCTGTGGATATGGTCGATGGTGCTGAATCCTTTGTGGAACCTGGCTTGCTCGCATGGTTGTCCTTCATCTAGTGTTCTGCCAATCCTATTTAGGATGACTCAAGTGAAAAACTTGTAGATGACAGACAATAGGCAGATCGGGCGATAGTTGCCAATGTCATGGATGTCTCCCGTGTTACCTATAATAACTTAAAATTATGTCATTGTTGTAGTCATGTAGTCAATTTCAATTACATATTAATAGCAATTACATACATTCTTTAAATTTAAAAATTATATTCACTTCTAAAGTTTATATAGCATTCATTCATGGATTGTTTTATGCAGCTCTTAAGGCAAAGTGCTTTACGTCAGTGCATTTGAAATTGTACAAATGCCTTTGCAAAGCATGCTCCATGATTTCCATGTTTAAGTGGAGAAACTGAAGTCAGGGAGCCATTCATACATTATAAGTGGCTTGTAAAGCACAAATATGAACCCAGCAGGTCTGTCTGCAGTGCCTAGAAGTCTGAGTTATCATAGTTTTATCATAAATATTTGTACCAAGTATCTGAAAATATTTTTGAAGATACTTGGTTCTATGAATGTGAGGTACTATGGGAGTACTTCAGGATATGTGACTTAGAAGTTTTGTTCTTACCTGCTCTCTCTCTCTCAAAGCTAGACTGTAGGGCCTGGAGCAATAGTGGGTAGGGCACTTGCCTTGCACACAGCTGACCCGGATTTAATTCCCAGCACCCCATATGGTCTTCATGCCTGTCAGGAGTCATCCCTGAGTGCAAAACTTGACTTATATTATTTATTTGCCTTCAGAACCTCTTTCATTATCTCTGTGCCTTAACCCCAGCTTTTTCCTACGTTTTTGCTGATTCAGTCTTATTTACCGTCTTTGTTACCAAGCTTGCTTGCCTCTGTGTGTGTGTGTGTGTGTGTGTGTGTGTGTGTGTGTGTGTGTGTGTGTGTTGGGAGGTAGAATGGGCACCTTCACCCCACAATTAACTGCAACAGGTGATTGGCTAATTGGCATCATCAGTGCTTGAAGGAGGTGGGTAGAGGTAAGGAGGGGTAGAAAATCATGCTGATGCCATAGGAAACTGAAGTTGAGACCCTTCAGGTACGGCATGACTGGAAGTTTCTCTGAGAGGACCTCCACAGAGCCAGCACGTTGCTGCCCAAGTTTTCATATCACACACCTTGCCCAAGCCACTTATTTGATGTGTGAAAACCTATTTCCTTGAGACTTTTGAAAGAATATTTTGAAAGCGGGTAAGACTATACTTCTGTAAATAGAAGGTAATAACATATTAACCTTCCTGAGGGATTCACATAATTTGACTTAATTTCACATAAGCCATTCTTCATCTGACTGGAACCCACAGCAGCACAGCACAGCAAAAATAACAAGCCAGTCAGGGCCTGAGAAGTACATTTCAGATGAGCTTCATTTCAAAGGCAGAATATTCCAACCCACTTGATTGCTACCTCAGCCAGTGCTGTCTCCCAAATGACCTTGTGTATCTCCCATTTCTCCCAGCTAAGGGGAAAATGCACTAGAAAAACATGGTCTGGAAAAATCTTTCTCCTGGAGAATATTTGGGGGGGCTCTTGGGGAGTCTACCCTGAGACCTGTGTGTTGGAGAGAGTCTTGCTGGCACAAGCTGGCTTGTCTTTTGCTTTGTTTTGCTCTTATAGGTCAAAATAGAGGGGTCAGGTGGATACAGGTGAGTTTTTTTTTTTTTGTAAACTGAAACATGTTTTCTTTATTGGGATGATAGTTCCAAGGTCATTGTGTTTTGTTCTGAAAACATATCTTCAAAATTTAGTAGAAAATGGTAGTATTTAACTTTTTATATTTATACCCCTGTAAATCAGCATTATCTAAATAAAAGTAAAAAGTTCACATCCTTGATTCAGTTATTTCACATTCTATGTGGGTAAGTCTTTGTATTAAATATTATATATATGTAAATTAGTTTCATTTAAATCTATGACTTCCTTATGATAGGCATTTTTAAAATTTTATTATTTTTTTAATTATTATTTTTTTTTACAGGTGAGATCTTGAGATCTGCCCTGAAAATTTTAAGTCACTCTGTCTGTCTGTCTGTCTGTCTGTCTCTTTCTCTCTGTCTCTTTGTCTCTCTCTCTCTCTATTTTGTCTGTTTCTTTTTCTCTCTCTCTGTCACTGTCCGTCTGTCTTTCTCTGTACTTGTATTTCTCTGTCTCTCTTTTTCTCTCTCTCTTTCTCTGCTTCTCTGTCTCTCTCTCTCTCTCATGGCTTGAAGCCACATCCGGCTGTGCTCAGAGCTTATTCTGTTCAGGGATCACTTTTGGCAGTTGCTTGGGGGATCAAATTAGGGTCAATCATGTGCAAGATAAGAAAGTGAACTCTTCCACCACCCCCCACTCCCACCCCCAGCTGTTCTTTTGCCTGCTATTTATGTAGCTGCTGCTTTGTCCTGGGTTTATTCTTTCCCAAGCAGTGCTCTAGAACAGCTCCATGCCAGGCTGTTCTGCAGACTAGTTGCCGATAAGCTCCAGCACTTTTGGGTGCAGCAACTGAACAATGCCTTTTCCCTACCTCTTATTTTCCCCTCTCTCCTCTTTGTCCCATCCAGAAATATTCAGTCTCTCTTATTGCTTCAAATTAAGATTCTGCTAGGTACAAGCTCAATTTTGTTCAGCTAATTCAGTACAAATAATGCTATCAGTTTGGATACATTCCACTGTGAATCAAAAAAAAAAAAGACTGAAAATGTTAGCTGTATCTCCAAGAGAGGCAGATTCCTCTTTCTCACGACTTTCCTGTAAATGAAATCTGCAAGGTGAATATAACAAAGGCCCTTTGAAGAGTTCTGGGACCTTCAGGATCAAAGAATTTTTTTCCTCTCA